CAACACATAATTAAAACGTTTTGAAAACAGTAGATGAGATTTTTGTCTGAATGCCTGTGATTCAGCCGTAGGTCAGTAGGGGGCGAACGCAGGCACTGAAGAATCATGTATAAATTGATGCACTTCCTGGTTTTTGGCCAGTGTGGTTTCCTGTCATCTCCAGTGGCAATAAACCCCACTTGGTTCTAGAATTCTGGTTTTTTATGGTTTTATTCCTTCTACAAATCAGTTTATTTAACAATGGTGGTTTTCATGTTGACTTCAGTCGATTGAACACGTATTTTCTTACACTCTGTTGTTCTTTCCGCACCAAAATCAAAAGAACGCTGAAAAATTCAAACTTAATTTTCTCAGCTTGAAAGGCAACCGTCATGAGAAGACCGTGGCAAAAACAGAAACCATTAAACCATTTCACAATAAAAGTGCTACCTTTGGGGCCGGACAAAATGTCAACGAGGGCCAGATTTGGCCCACGGGCCTTCAKTTTGACACGTAATTTATAGCAATTGATTAGGAAGCAAATGTCTGACATTCAAATGTTGGTAAAGTTGCTCTGTTATTTGTATTTATRTAGATATTTATGTGCCTACATTTTAGCATTTAACTGATGAAGTCAAATTTAGAAATTAAATATAAGAAAACATGGCTAAATGGCTCACCTCTCTCAGTATTAGGTACTCCCAGGTTGATCGTGGGTATGGAGGCGTCGGCGACGTCGCTATAATACTCTAAAATGCCAGCGTCCTTCTCCCAGGTCGACTTCACGACGGGTACTGGGAGGGAAACAGAGGAAGAGAGGTCAAAGGGTACAAGTTAAACGGTCCCAACATCCTCTCTGAACTAAATGGTGCTCTTTAATGGTTCCCGGCTCTTAATTAAAAACTCTCCAAGGGCTCTAATTGAAGGGGTCATGTCATCAAATTGTGCTCGTAATTGAGGGCAGGATAGATAATTCCTCCCCTCGACGCCTGTTGATCCAGATAGCAGAATCATCCACGATAAGGAAACAAGACGATGACTTCCAATTACAGTTTAAAATTAATGTTGATCCATGACAAGTGGGGAGCGATCTGGCATTAATTTATTCTTCAACACACTCGTCGATTAACAGAAAGTGGAAAGGGCATCGTGACACCCCCGCTATGCAATTCTAATGAGCAGAGTTTAAAACAAATCACAAAAAAAGTTAATGACACACTCTTCATTCCACTTGTGATTGTGTTAATTGCTCTAAAACAGTCTGTCCATATCTGCCGGCTCATTCTGACCCTTRAAACACACATCAGTGTTTTGGATAATGGCGCTCGTTGTGTTTCAGTCGACRATTTAAACGAGGTTGTAAATTTCAACAGGTAGTTTCCACCTGACAGGTTTACTGGGACTGAATGACAAGCAGCCTGCTTTACTACAAGCTTTACATAAARTGGAGACGAGGGCAAACAAGGGAAGGTTTCACCATTTACATTTTATTCCTGTTTGCATGACTATATTTCTGTCTGTGTGAAGAAATTTAAAGTTATTAGAGGTTAGAACTGATGTTAAAAGCACAACACTATATTCTTAGGTTTTCYTTTTTGTAATGTTGACAGTGTTTAATCTATTATGTTTTGATTGATATAGATTAGTTACATGTCCGAAATACACTCACCGGCCACTTTATTAGGTACACCACGCTAGTAACGGGTCGGACCCCCTTTTGCCTTCAGAACTGCCTCAATTCTTCGTGGCATAGATTCAACAAGGTGCTGGAAGCATTCCTCAGAGATTTTGGTCCATAT